TCAGAGGAGCGGGAAAGCTGACATTTCGGGCCTAGACCGTCAGCTTTCCCACTCCTCTGATGCTGCTTGGCCTGCTGTGCTCATCCAGCTCTACACCTTGTTATTTCAGATTCTCCAGCATCTGCAGTTCCTACTATCTCATCCATTTTCTTCATTTTGGTTGAGGGATAAAATTTTTCTGGTCATAATTTTGACCTTTTCTATTGCAGGATCTTTATCCCATAATTAATCAGTGGGTATAATGAAGTTTAGAGATCTTTTGAGCACTCAAAGTTGTGCAAACCTATCAATACATGAACTGATTTACACCACAATACTTACCTAATCACTTCCACAAAGGAGCATTGGTGGAGACTTGCTGCTAGCTTTTCTGCTCCAGCTGTTGTGATTTTGTTCCCTTCCAAACTGGAATAAAGGCAGGTAAACATTTTGTTATTCGGAACAAAATCCTCCTCCAAATGGCCACAGAACACACATATCCCAAAAAGGAAACAATGTTTTGTGAGGGTTGCTCACAAGGTCGATTTATGAGGTTTGCTCAGAACCTGGAACGTAAATGGACAACGAAGAGCCTAAAAACTTACTAACAGCCATCAAAAGTTTTCACATTGCACCAAATCTTCTTTGTAAATAGCAGGAAGGTGTTCAACATCAATTTGAGGATTTGCTCAAGCCTCATAGACTTATTATGGTCAACATGTTGAAACTTTGTAACTGTATTGCATCCTACAACTATGTAAACCAATGAAGATATCTCAAAGAGCTTGCATTCAAATATACATGTTATGAAGTTGTTGAATATCTTGGTTACTGGTGTGAGCCACAGGAAGATATTGATAAGTGAAAGCCAGTTACATACACACTCGGGTCATAATGTAGGTTCACAAGTTCTAACAATTAGTGGCTTTTAGATTCCAGGTGTTAAATTGGTCAGAGCATAGACAGATCATTTTCAGATTTATGAGCTTCTTAAGAGGATAATGATTGGATAACAAAACAGCCTATTCAAGTGATACTTGCTTATTTTGACAGTTACGCGCTTCTTATAAAGATAATTGGTTTTGAAGTGCCTATTTAAGTGCTGGTCACTTTCATTGTCAGATATACAAGCTCCTCAATAACTCCCCTGTCATTACATGGCTTGTGAGTTTTGCCTATAAAATTGATGCCACGTATCAGATAGGGGCAGGGCAGATTATTATCTTTGGAAGGTGGGGATTGAGGGGATGAGGATGGGGTGAAGGGTTCACAGGAGAATGGGGTTAATGGGTGATGGTGTAGGTTACTAAAGAGGTGTGAGTGAAGTTTGAGTAGGTGTGAGGAGGTGTAAGGGTAGGGGCAAACAGGCAAAGGGGGCTGAGAGTGGGTGATGGTGGCGTTAAGTGGGTAGGGGAAGGGAGGGTGAGAGAGATACAGGAGAGGGAGAAAGACGGGATGAAGGAAGAGAAACATAAATTGGAAACAGAAAGAAACAACAAAAAAAAACATAGGAACTCAGAAAATAGAGTATCAGTAGGCCATTCAGCCTTTTGGTTCTGTTCCATCATTCAAAATGACCATGGCTGATCATCCGACTCAATGGTATTTTCCTGTTTTTCCCCCATATGATTTGATCTCTTTAGCCCCATTATCAAACTCCTCTTTGAAATCATACAATGTTTTAGCCTTGATTTTCTGTGGAAGAGAATTCCACAGACCCACCACTTTCTGGATGAAGAAATTTCTCTTCATCTCAGTCCAAAATTGTTTACTCTGTATCTTAGACTGTGACCCCTGGTTCTGGACCTGCTTCTTGAATCTAAGCTGTCTAGAACTTTATGGGTTTCTACGGGATTCCCACCTCATTCTTATCTCCAATGAATATAGTCCTAATCAATTCAACCTCTCCTCATACGTCAGTCCTGCCATCCCAGGAATCAGTCCTGTCAACATTCAAAGCACTCCCTCAACGTTCTCAGATAAGGAAAACAAAACTGCACACAGTGCTTGGTATGGCCTCACCAAGGTGCTGTACAATTGCAACAAGACACTCGTGCATCTGTATTTGAATCTTTTCACCATGAAGGCCAACAGACTATTTAACCTCTCCACCACCTGCAGCAGTTGCATGCTTACTTTCGATGACTGGTGTATGAGGATATGTTGGTCTCATTGCTCATTCTCCTCTCTCAATTTATAGCCATTCAGATAAATATACACCTCCCTGTTTTTGCTACCAAAGTGGATAACCTCACATTTATCCACATTATACTGCATCTGCCATGTACGTTCCCACTCCCTCAGCTTGTTCAAATCACATAGACAGACACTCAGATAGAGAGACAGAGAGAGAGAGAAAGAGAGACAGACAGACAGACAGACTGAGAGAGTAACACAGTCAAGGGATGTGGACAGACATACAATCTGGAAAGGGGGACATGGTGAATGATTCATGTTTGCCTGTGTAGTGCATGATTGTGTATCATGTTTTATTCTGGGAAGTCAGATTCAGTGCTTCCCTCAGAGGACTGAAGCTCATATAGGGCAGGCAATGGCTAGTGTTGTTATTGCTGGACTGTGAATCCACAGACCCAGGAACGTTCTGGGTCAAACAGGTTCAAATCCTGCCACAGCAGATGGTGGAATTTGATTCATTTAAAAAAAATCTGAAATTAAGAGTCTAATGATGACCATGAATCCATTGCTGATTGTTGGGGAAAAACCCATCTGGTTCACAAATGCCCTTTAGGGAAGAAAGCTGCCATCCTTACCTGGTCTGCTCTACAAGTGACATCCACAGCAATGTGGTTGAGTCTTAACTGCCTTCTGGGCAATTAGGAATGGGCAATAAATGCTGGCCTGGCCAGAGACACCCTCACCCCGTGAATGAATTAAAAAAAAATTCCTGACCCTCAGTTTTAATGGTGGGGATGAGAATTAGTGAGCTGAATTAGGTTTTGCTTTTGGCTTAATTTATATTTTTTGGATCTTACTGTGTATGCTTGTTTGGCAGCTTTTATTAGCAATTACTTACATCTAGGATGTTTTTGTTGAATCAGTTTTTTTAAATTGCACAATGTATTGATGTAATGTTGTCAGCCAGATGGACATCATAGAATGAGTTCTCTGATTGGGGCTGTTAATCTGGTCCAATCAGGGAGCCCTGGCTGACAGATATAAGCAGGAGTGTTGGGAGGTTCTGTTCACCCTGAGAGCTGGCTCTGAGGGAGTTGGACCAGTGTCAATTACTATGCACGTGTAAATAAAGGGTAATTTGGTGATGGAACGCCAGCCTTTGTGGAGTTATACCACAGACAAACTGTAGAAACATCCCAGAAGATATTTTTTAAAAAAAATTAAAACATTACCTATCCTTAAATTGTTCTGTTCATTTCAGGGTTTTAATTTAGAAAGTATTTTATTCATCTGACTGTATGAGATTGAAAAGAAGTTAAAATAAACACCACACTGAAATGCATGTGAGAAATGCATTTGGGATAAAGTGGATGGGATTCCTTGGAGAATTGCTTCTGATAAGAAGGGTCAGGCTTGTATGTGCTAAATTATCACCAAATGGATGTTTGTTGAGTATATTTGATGTTAGAAACATTTCCACATTACAGCCCTGATATTAGTGAAATAATTAACAGTCTTCCCTGTGGCTATCTCTCTCAAACACTTGCTGGTCTCCATGCAACCAGCAATGAGATGAAAGACCTGAGAGCTGCCAGGATTGAAAGAGCATTAGGAAGGAGCAAATCGCCCAAACATTTCTCATGGCTGTTGATACACTGGAGTTTTATGTGTCTGGGATTGTAGGCACTAGCTATAGCAGTTGATAGGCGTATATAAAGATAAAAATAACATGTAAAGGAAGGAATGGAAAATCAACAGTGAATCACAGATTCCAGTTCCTAAATGGCACCACCTACAGGATCATGCTGAAAATTGCAGCTGTCCTTTTAATCTCAGATAATAGAAGGAACTGCAATCAAATTAAGTGTACAGATACAGCTACAAACACCTCGCAACAAATGAAAACACTCCAATTTTTGTCACTAAACATACTTTCAACAGCTAATGATGATTATAAATATAACAGTATACATTTACATCACACGATTCAGAGGTTGGGGAATGTGGGCACATGTACTTTGCGGGGGTGGGCGGGGGTGCGGATGCGTGGGTAGAGGGGATATTTTGTCTTCCATGGAAAGGAGGCCATTGAGGGAGGCATCCTGGGTTTCTTCACACAGTCTGCATGAGCAGAGTGACCTGTTGAATGTCACCCTGGCTCTGAGCTCCTGGCAGCAATATCAATACTGAGGTCAGGCAGAAATCTGTTGTGTACTGCACTGGGACACTGGAGCAGTCTCATACTCATGTTGTGACATTACTGAGTGTTAATGGACAGATAGGCCAGAGCTAGAATACTCTGGAAGAACGCCACTGGAAGGAAGACTCTAGAGTCAGGAAAGTTGACCAGACCTAGGCTACAATATGGACACGAACACACATGCACTCACACAGACACATGCACACACACTCTGCCACACACACACACACACACACACACACACACACACACACAAACACTAGTGATCAAGCACATACTTACTCTACTCCTATTTCCCAGCACTTGGCCTTGTACGCAATGGTGTTCAAATTGTTTACTTAAATTCTTCTTCAATGTTATAATGGTTCCTACCTCTAACACCCTGTCAGATACCCACCACTCTCTGGGCAAAAGAAATTTTCTTTAAATTCCCTCTAAACCCACTGCCCTTTACCTTCAACCCATGCCCCCTGATAACGGACCCTTCTTCTAAACAGAAAGGTTTAATCCTATCGAGTCTATCTACACCCTTCACAAATTTGTAGATCTCAATCAAGTAAACCCCCCAGCCTTCTCTGTTCTAACAAAAATAACCCCAGCCTATTGATCCTCTCTTCATAGCTGAATCACTCTGGACCAGGCAGTATCCTGATGAATCTCTTCTGTACTTTCTCCAATGCAATCAGAACAGCTCATAGCACTTCTAGCTGTGGCCTAACTAACATTACACAGCTCTATTATAACCTCCTTGCTCTTATTTTCAATGCCTTGACTAATAAAGGCAAGTGTCCCATTTGTGTTCCTGATCATATTATTGGCCTGTCCTTCTGCCTTTAAGGATCTGTGGACATGTACATCAAGGTCTGCTGATCCTCTGTAGAACCTAGAGTCTTGCCATTCATCACAAACTCCCTTGCCTTGTTAGTCCTCCAAATATGCACCACTTTACATTTTTTAGCATTCACTTCCATCTGCAACTGTGGTCTAAAACCGTGGTCTGATTTTCGAACAGTAATGGAATGAAAGGTTATGGTGAGAGGGTGGGTAAGTAGAGCTGAGTCCACAAAAAGATCAGCCATGATCTTATTGAGTGGCAGAGCAGGTCTGAGGGGTCAGATGACCTACTCCTGCTCATATTTCTTATGTTTTTATGTCCTTATTAAAACCTTCCTCCTCGCTATTTACCACACCATCTATTTTTTGTGTCATCTGTGACCTTATTAATCTAACCTCCTACCTTCATGTCTAGATCATTAATATTAACTACAAACTGCAAGGGGCCTAGCCCCATTGCTACAGTACTGGATATAAGCATTCAAACCTTCACTAAACGATCTTCGATCATCACTCTCTGCTTCCTGCTGCTAAGCCAAATTTGGATCTAATTTGCCAAATTGCCCAGATTCCATGCCCTCTTAACTTCTTGATCAGTTTCCCATGAGACAACCTGTCAAAAGCCTTACTGAGGTCTGTATAGATTACATCGACTGTACTTCCCTCATCCACACACCAATCATCTCCATAAGAAAAATCAAATGTGTTAGACATGATATTCCCCTGACAAAGCCAATAAATAAAACAAACTAATCTGAGAAATTCTATCTCACAGAATGTTTCCCAAAAGTTTCCTTACCACTGATGTTAGTTACACTGGCTTATAATTCCCTGGTTAATCCCTATGATGCTTCTTGATTAATCGTACTACATTAGCTGCCTTTCAATCTTTGGGCATCTCTCCTATGTCCAGGCAGGATTGGAAAATGAAGGTCAGAGGCCCTGCAACCTTTCCCGTTGTCTCGCACAGCAGTCTTGGATATATTTCATCTGGGCCTGGGGCTTTATCTGATTTTAAGCCTGCTAAAACCGTCCCTCTCAAAGCTAATTTGTTCGAGATGATTACAGTCAGCCAGCCTGATTTCTATATCTACATCATTCTTCTTGATAGTGAATACCCTAACCCCACTACAGCAAATACTCATTTAAATCCTCACCTCCATCTTCTGGCTCCACACGAAAATTGCCACTTTGGTCCCTAATGGCCCTAATCCTTCCCTGATCTAAGTCTAAAGATAGTCCTTCATTTCGCTTTCTCCCTGACCAGTCCGTAAAGAACCTAAATTCAGTGTATGGCATTAAACCACACATTAAAGTGGCCAATAATGATCCACTTAAGGACCTCAAGGTCAGATGGATTGGCCCAGGTCTAGGCCCCTGCCTTAGAAGTGGGAACAGGTTGGGGTTAGCAGGAGGGTGCTGGGAAGGCCCACAGTGAATTTTACAGGCTCTGGGGGCATGTAAAATCCTGCCCTGTGCAGTTGTCACTCATTTTTATGATAATGTACTGGGTCCTTGTGTAATCTTCTTTATATTTATACTGCAAACCAACTGAACCTTATACCTAGCTTCTCAGAGGCATATAGAGCAGGCATATAACTGATGGATGATAACTTCCAAATCCTGTAATAATTGGAAACCACACATTGTACCAGTGCCATATCTCTTGCAAGTTAAAATGCTCTTGCACTAACATAGGACCCCTGCCAACATGATGTGTTCCTGAAATTTAATGTTGTACTCACTCTAGTTTCTTTAAACATAGCATTCTTGGTAGGGCCTCAGCCAGTTTCACTGCACCCTCGTCACTGATGTCATTCCAGGATAAGCTGTGAAGAAGTGGAAACATTTAGAACAGTTTTCTTCAGGATCTCAGTTGTCGATTTGTAGTATGTATGGCATCAGAGGCCTGTGAGTTAATACTGTAACTGGCGAAAGCTCAGACCTGAGCAACCCATGTAGAAAGGCTCACGGTTCAAGATTTCGATCTTTCAAGGTCACTCACTCCTTCGCCTCGCAGACATGCTGTCCTTTACTGTAAGATGCAGGGTTCTGCATTTATATTATGGACATGAATCAACAGTATTGCCCTAATCCTTGGCAAAAAGTCCCAGGACCCCCTGAGATTCTGAGCTTTTGTGTTCTTGCACAGTGTAAGAGCTGGGACTTATCGTTGGACAAGACATCCCGACGCTGTGGGCTTCAGATTTTGGATGAACTAGTATCAGCTAAACATTCTTAAGGTGATCCTCTGGACATGAAGTGCCTCAGGTGAAGGATACATTGATGGAAGATGTCTAGTGTCCATTGCTGGGATGGTCAAGACATTAGTTGGAAGGGTTCATAAAACCAATTGCCAGGCCAAATAGGGGGCACATATCCTTAAACCTACTCACTGTAATGTAAGAAAAGAAAAAAAAAAGTCTATTATATAACCTGGCTGATTGAATTGACTGCAGCCATCTCAGTTATGATGGCAGCTTGACACTGGGCCTGGGCACTGGAGAAATGTACAGTGGAACAGGATGATCTATCCACACAATCAGCTTGTTGGGAGGTGGGGGGTTCACTGTCTGACTTCATGCAGCTGGTGACAACTTTACCCACACAGAGCACTTTGTAATTTCTGCCGTGCAGTACCAGTGACAGCAAGGGATCGGAAAATTAGCCATCAGCATGAGATTTGTTTTTAAAAGACTCTGACCAACTGTTAATCAAAATCATTACAGTGCAGTAAACATACGTTTCACGGTAATCAATTCAACAAAAGGTCAATTCAGGTGACAGGTTCACCGAATTCAGATCGTGTAACCATGACATTTTGTATTGTCACACAGTTAAGTAAACACTTCAACTGGATAAACTAGCTGCACTACATTTAAATCCAGACAGAGAGAGGGAGGGAAACAGAGGATGTCAGACATAGAGAGACAGAGGCCAACAGTGGGAATCAGAGGCAGATAGAGGGCAATAGAGAGAGAGAGAGAGGGAGGGAGGGAAAGAGACAGAGGAAATTAAAGGCAGAGAAACAGAGAGAGACAGAGGGGGACAGAGAGAGACAGAGGGGGACAGAGGAAATCAAAGGCAGAGAGACAGAGGGAGACAGACAGGGTCACAGACAGAGTGAATCAGACGGGTTCACTTCAAGAGTTTAAGATAAACAAAATAAAAAATAGTTCAACTTCCATATGGTCATCAGGGAAGGGTGAAGGAGGAAGGGAAATTGAATCTTTCAGCGGCTAACATGAAATGTGTTCAGATGTTTCTAAATGAGAGTCAGCTTGATGCTGTTAGTTAAAACTGCAGCATTCTGCTTAAGCTGAAGCTCCCATTTATTTCAATATGCAGACATCGGCTGTCTCACAGTCACTTTGCATCCAAGAAATTTAACACTTACACGACCTCTTCAATACTGGGACAGTACGCAAGTCCAGCTGTGAGCTCCTCTGCCACACTGTCGTCAAACCTGGTCAGCTGCAGGCTGCAAGAGAGAACGCCAAGGTTGGTAAATCCTAAAACACTGAAGTGCACAATGTTTACACATGCTTCAACAGAGCAAACTAACTTTTCTTCCGACATCCTGGAACGACACCTCAGAAAGCATTCTTTCTGGTCGTCAATTCAGATCCAAGCCAAAACTAAGCCTACATCTCTTTGTGGATACAGTTTATTAACTGCTCAGTCTTACAGCTGTTTCCACACATCAGTCCTCCTTTTTCCTTTACATTTTCTAAGCAATCTATTCAGAAATGTAATTACACATCACTGGAGCAGGTGGGACTTGATCTCAGGTCTCCTGGCTCAGAGGTCAGGACACTGCCACCGTACCATAAGAGACCTCGCTTTTCTATCTTCATATTTTCTAATCAACTCATTCAGGGTCATTATCAAGTATCTGTGGAGTAGTTGGGTCTTGAACCCAGGTCTCCAGGCTCAGAGGTGGGGACACTACCACTGCAACACAACAGCCCTAGCTTTTCAACCTTTATATTATCTTTATTTTATTTTTCTTTTATACCCAGAAGTACCATCATGCTCAACTGACTTTCCCAATACCAAAATCACCATGGCTTTTTCTTTTTTTTTAAATTACTGACCACCACCAGTAAAACACCCAAGTAGTCAATTAGATATCTACAAGAAAAGCTCGTTAAGACCAATGCAAACCATCAAAAGTGAGGGGGAGGTAGGGAGAGTGGGAAGGGGCTAAATCAAAATGGATTTGGAGGGGCAAATAAAACACTCATCACCCACAGTGCCCAGTTCCCTCTATATCTACTTTTATTTATACCCAGGCAATTAACCCCAATGACCTGCTGAACGACTGAGATATTCATAGATTTCCTCCTTTTTAAATAAAAGCATCTAACAAAATAAACAACCCTGGAAAACAACCAATGAAAAGTAAAGAAAATCATGATTTTATATTCTACATTTTATTTTAAAATACAACTAATCAATATTAAAATTGTATATTATTTTATACTCAAAATATATAGCTTTTACTTGTGCTAATATTTCACCAGCTAAGGGGTTACTAGCCTTTTTATTTTCTTGGCTTCCCAGACCTAAAAACATTCCTTATTCTTTCCCACCAGGCCAATGATAAACACTGCTATACTAGAATAACCATGTGGAAGATTGGCATGTGAAATGTTGCTAAAAAGGATTAGCTACATATTTTCTGGGTCTTGCAAGGCTGGAAATGGGAGTATGCACTTTTCTGAAATTAATTTGAAATAACTCCACAGAGGTCACTATCCTGTCACCAAGTCAACATTTTTATCTACATGTGCACAGTACATGATACTGACCCAGCTAGCCCAGAGCAGAACCTCTGACACTCCTGTTGATATCTGTCCCTAATTGGACCAGGTCAACAGCTCCAGTCAGGGAACTCATACTATGATATTCACCTGGCTGATCTCATTCCAATCACTACATGATTTATTTAAAATTATTTGTATTTCCTCTGAAGGCTTTCCCAACAGTGGCACATCTCATTCCCTGCCTCCAAGGTCAGTCTGATTCCAAGCTAGTCAGTGAAACAGAAACCAAACAAACTCAATATAACAGCTCATTTCACACCACTCACCTGTTCCAACTTTTTGTATCGACTCAGTTAGTTATCCAATCACCTGGTTAATTCCTCACTATATTAACACCTTGGCTTAGAATAACCTTCAGGATCAGGTTTCCCAGGCTGGTTTCTCAGAAATTCTTCTCTGGCAAGTGTTAAATCAAGGCCAGAACAGTGCCCTTTACTGGCACCCTGGCTGATAGTAGCCATTTCCAGAAGTTGAATAGAGACTCTTCCTGCATTAAATCAGGAAAGGTGCTCGCTGGGTGTCACATGGGAGCTCTGAACACTCATAAAATCTGTGCTTCCCAGTGCTACAAATGTGCATACAAATAATTATATGCCAATAGCTTTTGACATTTCTAATGGTGCGTAACCTAGCATATGCTTCAATATCACAGTTTGTTTTTTTCTCTGTTTCAAAGATGCACAGTCAGATTGCTTTGATTGTAAAGACTACTCATGGGTTTTTTAACTTTTTTAAAAATTTCTTTTTAACTGTGCATTCCACAGGGTTGTCGTTCATGGCCCTGGAGCTTCCTTAATCTGGAGGCAGGTAACTCATCCTGTAAATATTCATAGGTACTGACCCATCCATAGCTACTGAGTCAAATGAATCAAATATGGGTTATGGTTTTGAATTCCATCATCCAATTTAATACTTGGGACTCGCATGGAATGAAATGGTTTTCAAAAAAGAAATGAAAAATACAGATGGTCACAAGCCATCACCTGATCATGTAAGCTGTCATGTTTGATGAAACCAAAATGGACTAGACAAGAGGTAGCTGAGCTGAGATGAACATTTTATCTGAAGGCAATGAAACCAGTTAGCCACATTCTCCCTCTCCCCTCTCTGATGATCCCCTCCTCAGGACCAGTAAAATGGTCTCCTTCTCCTCTCTAATTTGTACCATCATGAATGTAATAACTGCACCGAGGTCAGTATCCTGTCACCAAGTCACCCTTTATTTAGACGTGCACAGTACACAGGCTGTAGCCAGCCAGCTCCAAGTCAGTCCCTGAAGTCTAGAGACTCTCTGAAAGTCCTATTTATAGCTGTCAGCCAGGGCTCCCTGATTGGCCCAGATTAACAGCCACCAATCAAGGATCTCACAGTCAATAAGATCTACCTGGTTCCAATCACTACAATGTGATTTGTTTTAACAGGATGGAGATGAAAAATGCCTGCAGATGGAGTATACAACTAGCATGTATCTCAAGGTACGTTTTGGGAAAGACAAGTAGGGAGATGGATTTTTGTCTGCAGAACTGAAACAAGCTGATAGACTGCCTTCTGGGGAAAACAGGCTGGTGACAATACTGGCTGGAAAAAGTGAATACCAGGGAATCAAGAATTTAAAAGGGTATCTACATGAAGATGGTATCTGTAGTAACATATTTTTGTTATTTAAACTTGTGGTTGGTGTCTTACTGCTACAGTAGAAATTAGTTAACTACCTGATATTGCCCCAAAACCGTTTCTTGTGACCAATCATTTCAACTGTTGAAAAGGGGAGACAATTCATTCCTTCTCATTTGTTTGTAACAGCAGATTCAAACCTTGTGGGAGTGAACTTCAGCACAATTGGCTTTTCATTGCCCTTGATCTTGTGGGACCTGCTGAACAATAACCTGCCTTTATATAGCACCTTTAACATTCTAAATCACCCCAAGTCATATCACAGGAAAGTTATCAGGTGAAATTTGACACTGGTCAATCACCATGAGGGGATCTTAAATTGAAACCCTGTAAATTCACCATGCAAAGATTTGCCACCTACCACTTCTATTAATGATGCAGTCTTGCTCCTCAGAGTTAAAGATACCTGAACACACTTCACAAAATCTTATTCATACTGTGGAGTTTCCCTGCTATTATGTGTTGTCCCAGTTTTTGGACCAGGCTCATTATTGGCCAATCAGGCAGTTGGCCAAACATACTTGGAGGTGACAAACATGTGATCCTTTCACATATACAAGTCTTCCCACTTACAGAGGAAACAGGGATCGACTGTATGACAGCTAACATGGCTAAAACTACTGGATTGCCATAGGCGAAATGGGGCCCACACGCAAATGTCAAGGCATTTCCAATTCTAAACTCAGCTCACTAGCTGGTTTCCAAAGATTTCATCATAGAGAGGGCAGGTATTAACCCTGGAGCTGGGGAGATGTGTAATGGATCTGAATGTTGGTTTCAGGCAGGACATGTTCATGTGACCACCAGGATCGGCCTTTTCTCAAAACTCAGATAAAAGACTCTCCCACTGGTCATCAAGACCCAGCAACAGGGGAACAATTCACTGATGGTAAACCCGACTGCTTATAAAGTGGCTCCTGATGTGATCCAACAACAGTCCTGTTATTGTTATCAGAAAGTTGACTGACCGTGTGGAGTTTGCACATTCTCCCCGTGTCTGTGTGGGTTTCCTGCAGGTGGTCCAGTTTCCTCCCACAGTCCAAAGATGGGTAGGTTAGGTGGATTGGCCATGCTAAATTTCCCTGTAGTGTCCACGGATGTATAGGCCAGCTGGATTAGCCATGGGAGATATGGAGTGGTGGGGTGGGTCTGGGAAGGATGCTCTTTGGAGGGACAGTCCAGACCCGATGGTCCAAATGACTTCTGTCTGCACTGTATGGATTCTGTGATTCTAAATTATCACCTGAGGTAAAGTACATTGTACACAATATAGGCCATTCAGCCTCTTTTTCCTGCTCTGCTAATCAGATCTCAGCTGATCTGCATCGCAACTTCATCTTATCTTTTTGGCACTTTTGGCAAAATGGTTGTGTCCCTACCTCTGAGCTAGGAGACCCAGGTTCCAGTCCTACTTGCTCCAGAGGTGTGTCAGAACATCTCTGAGCCGATTGATAAAATATAAAATCCATCACCTATCCTGTCTTCTATCCCTCAATGTCCAGACCCAACAAAATGTTTCACCTTGACATTTTGAATTGATCAACAATTGCTTCGATGTGGGGGAGGGTTCAGAGATTGACATTTCCACTACCCATTGTGTGAAGATATTTTCTATCACAGTGGACCTTCATGGCATTCTTAAATGAGGAAATAAAATGGATACAGGAATTTTCACATGAAGCAACCAACACTTTTCAAGGAAAAACTTGGACAGCAGAATAACATTTAAAGCATAAAGAAGAAACCCCATTTAAAGCCCTGTATCATAGTCTGGGTTTGCCCAACTGCACGTGAGCCACTTACTCCAACTTTTTCAAAGATGTCATTTTTTGTAGAGCCATTGCGAGCTCCATCACTCCTTTGTTCCCAATGCTATTTTCAGGCAAACTGCAGAAGACAAAAAAAAAGTGCAATGAGTACTGTTACACAGCGTTTTATTGTCACCTGAAGGCAGCTCTTTCTCTGCTGTATTTTTGTGGATAGGGTAGATCATTTTGAGAAGCTTTGTGGCACTTCCAAAAGTTGGATATTTAATCTTCAGATCTTCTATTGGGTATCTGTTTTTTTTTGATGGATGCAGGGAGGTGAGACCTAGATGATTTTGGTGGCCAGTATTCTGATCATTTCTTCATGTGGTTCCAAATATGCAGAGAGCTTAGGGCAACCGTCTTAATTTGAAATATTTATCTTAATGAAAAGTGGGGGCGCCCCAACAGTTTTAGTCTGTGAAATGGACAACAGCCTCTGGATATTTGGAAGTGAGAACAAACCTGCTTGATATGATAAACTGTATTGTGCAAAATGTTTTTCATTTGCGAGATCTCTTTTTAGGTCCAAAGACGGTTGGTGGGGAACAATGATTTGGATTTCCTGCTCATTACAAGTTAGACTGCCAGTGGTTGTCATAGGGATAAAAGCTAATAAAATGGCTATTAAAAGCTACATTTTGTGTTTTGGCCCATTGTGCAGCAGTAGAACACAGATATTGTGAGGGGACAGGCAAGTAGGGCTCTCTACAAGTGGGTTACCTTTCTATTTGATAGTAAGAGGAAAATTACCAGAGAAACTCTTGGGGAAGCAATGCATGAGCCGGCTCAATGGGCCCGAATCCCGAAACTGATGTGAACCGCTCAGACGTTGCTGAAGAGTTAAGTGTTTTGTATCAGAGGCTTACACCATGAACTTAGTGTGTTAGTTGGCCAGTTGCAAGGGAACTCTTAAAACCACACCATCAGGCCTGATGCAATGTGAGGAAGAGAGTGTTTATGGAAGTGCATCTGGTCATACTTGTGGACCTTGGCTAGAATATAGCTATAGAGTGAAAGGTCTCAAGGGCCAAATCCATTGAGTGAGTGAAGTGAGACAGCCTACGAACTGGAGGCAGTGATGGAAAGTCTATGAGATTGCATGCGGCGCCACATTTGTGTAGGAACTGATCCAGGTATTTGTAATTTCATTAGGCGTACCTTTGCTGTATCAACTGTTCAAAGTGAAACATCCCTTTTGTTTTTGAGTTTAACAACATTGGTCTTGTATGTTTAATTTGATGTTGATTGGGGATAGACTGTACAGTTCAGGTTTTAAAAAAGTGCAATCTTGTCCCTTGATTCATTTAGCCAGAGGTGTTTGGGAATTCCTTTCTTTTTCAGGTTACTGGTCCCTATGGTGATTGTAAGATTGTGCAGTTCTGTTAATCAAGCAGTTTACACATGGCAGTGTGACTTAAACATGGATTTGCTAATTCAGGGAATGAAATATTATCACTGCACCACAAGAGCCCTCTGACTTTCTGTTAAGAAAAACACCCTGCAACCTTTCTCCTTTTACCAGGGAACTTGGACATTTCCTTTGAACAAGCCTGTCCAACACTGCAGGAGTGCAGTGAGAGATCTCTCTGGGGTATAGTCAGATGTTCAAACCCATGATCCCTGACTCACAGATAACCACTAAGATATACACCTTAACATCAATTCTGAGGTATGGGGAACCTGTGTGGTTTGACTGTGTGGCTGGTGGCAATAGAGATGGGGTTCTCAGGGAGGGAAGAATGCATAGAGAGGTGCTCTGAATGACTTGTAGTTAGTGGAGGATGAAAGTAGTAGAAGGTGCTAGGTTCACTTTGAAAGGGTTTTAACATGGCAAACAGGTCACTGAAGAAATCTAGCAACAAGTTGCTTTTTTTTTATTCACTCATGGGACATGGGCATTGCTGGCTGGTCAGCTTTTATTGCCCAACTCTGGTTGCCCTTGAAATCAGTGGCTTGCTAGGCTATTTCAGAGGGCAGTTGAGAGTCAACCACATTGATGTTGGTCTGGAGTCACATGCAGGCCAGACGCGGTAAGAATCACATATTTCCTTCCCTGAAGGACATCAATGAGTCAAATGGGTTTTTCTGACAATCGACAATTGCTTCTTAATTCCAGATTTTTTAAAAAATTGAATTCAAATTCCACCAGCTGCCATGGTGGGATTTGAACCTGCATCTCCAGAACATTATCTGAGTTTCGGGATTAGCAGTCTAGTGATAATACCACTAGGCCATCACTTCCCATTGAGGGGCATGGATTCAAGCATTAGAGGCAGCACAGACAGAACAGAGCTGAATGATATCGCCATGGTCAGTGTGGAGAATACATTTTATTTATCTGTCTGTTAGTACTTAAATAAATATTTATTTATTTATTTTCCAAGATCTTAAAAACTATTTCCTTCACTATCTCTGGAATCTGAAATGTCTCAGTTTGAAAAGGGCCATGAAGAAACAAAATGGAAGAATATAGGGCTCGTAGTGCCATTGATTGGCTGTGGATGGATGATATCACAGGAATACAAAAAACTGCCCCAAAAGGAGGCAACAAAGACAGTTGAAATGTAGAACTGAATATTCTGTAAAGGACTGGGTAAGACCATTTTTTGTATTAACTGGCCTGTACACTGAATAGCTAGTCATTTTAACAGTTACAGTTCAACTAACTGTCAGCATATTGGGTATCCTGTCAAATTCATTAACACCTCTGACCATATATTTTATGTTATTCTTTCAGTTTAATTGTTTTGTGCCAATACTTACACATTGAACAGCGCGAGTGCTGTCTCAGTGAACAAAACACTGAAGTGTTAGCGGCAACAGTTAGTGTGCAAGGCTACTTCACAGAGAAAAAGAAAATCAACAGCACCTTTTACAACAGGCTCTTCATCAGAACCTACTTTTAACCTGCAGTTTGCAACAGTTCAGACTTTGCTGTTTGCTACTACGTGAGTGAATCCTAGAGTAACTCTCACCTTATCACTTCAACACTTGGGCACAGCGCAAGACTCTGTGCCAGGCTTTCTCCTCCGTCAGCAGTGAGTTCAGTGGAATGGAGGCTGTAAAGTGAGGCAGACAAGTGGAGGTTATTCCTGGCTCAAGTTATGCTTTAGCCAGACTTACAGAACAACAAGTGCATCATTTTAAGCTAACTGCAGATAGGCAGCCCAAGGGATCTGGTAGAACATCAATCTTAGGCACTGCCTGACCCTCCTCTCCATTGCAAATGTGTAAAACCAACACTGTGCTTGTCTTGTCATAAAATCCTAGAATCCCTACAGAGCAGAAGCAGGCCATTTGGCTGTCTGGTCCACATCAGCCCTCCAAAGAGTATCCCACTCTGAACTAGCCCCTTACATTATCTCTGTATTTCCCATTGGCTAACCCACGAAGCCTGCACATCCCTGGACACTACGGGCAATTTAGCATGACCAATCCACCTAATTGGAACATCTCTGGACTGTGGGAGGAAACCCACACAGACACGGGGAGAACACCCAAACTCCATACAGATAATTGCCAAGGGTGGAATCAAACCCAGGTCCCTGGTGCTGTGAGGCAGCGGTGCTAACCGCTGAGCCACTGTGCCACCCCGGCAGGTCCCAGTGAATGGGTTCAGTTAAAAATTCCCATTAGCAGATAGAGACGTGACACCTCTCAATAAATCATATGCATTTACTTTAAAATAAGCCACAAATCACAGTACATTGAGGGAATCTGCAAGACTTCTAGAAAATAGTGCAGAATGTCAATTTTGCCAAAGATGGACAGATTTTATCAACTTTTTTTTGTTTTACACTCATCAGGACAATTTGCAAGAAATACAAATTTAAATGAGAAAGAAAACATTTCTGCTGAATGGGAGGAGAGTGCTGAATGGTTGACAAGTGGACTCTGACTGGTAGAGGCACTGTCATGCAGAAGGCACCAGTTAGATGATGACTGACAGTTAACCCCAAGCTTGGTTAACATCTAAACCAGGCAATTTTGACAAAATGTCTTCTCAGCCATATGCAATTCTAGAAAATGTGGAAATAACAAAAGTAAAATTCCATTCAGCTCTGGATGGATAGAGAGTGAATCTTAATAAATTACAGCAAGATCATTGATAAATGCATCCATAGCGCACACATATTAGAATGAACATCAGACAGCACTTACTTCAGAATCTTTAAACAGGGCAGCTTTGGCAAGGCTTCAGACAATTTCTTTGCAGTCTGATCGCCGATCTTGTTCCTGGACAAACTACATGTTTGTGTTAGTCAGGTGAAGTGAAAAAAATTGTTATCAGTATTCAATAACCCTTAAGGAACACAATAAGTCATTGCATCAACTGTAAATGACAATTTCGGGCTTAAAAGAAAATGCTGGTGAACATTCAGTCTGAAATATCTTCAGGTTAGAGCCAGAGTTTGGAAAGTAGTCTTCAGTTTTGATTTGGTTTTAGCAGGAATGGTGCACAAAATTTAAAATAACATGTGAAGTTGGCAAACAGCTGGTTTGCAGAGGGATTAAAAGGTGTATTTTCAGGTTCTTTTTAATAATTTGTCAGGTGCCAGAAGGAAGTGACACACAGACACTGGTAGTGATGGCAGGTTCACTTTGAGAAATGTCACAGCCAGTGAAGGTGGTGAGCAGAAATTACAAGGCAGATTCTCCATAAAATCCCAGCTGCAAATTTCCAAATTGTGCCTGTCCTGGGGAGGTGCTTCATCAAAGGATAGAATTAGGAATGGATAGTGAGTATAGAGATGGTTTTGGATTTCCCACCTATTTAGGCTTTACCGCTGCCTTAACGGTCATTTTTGTGCGATCCTCCAAGTGGAACAATTTTATACACATAGGAGTCATATCTGTGTCTTTTCTGTTGCTATTTTATTGGGGCCTAGGCTTTTCTAAGCCTATGTAGCAATGATTAGTTCTTGCCTTTGGCCTCAGTTCCTTTCATGGTGGATTCCCAATTGGAAGACAAGTCCATGTATTTGGAGGATGAAGTTCAGTCTGTTAGAGAGTGTTCCAGGCCTCAGATCAAAATCTGTACTTTTCAACTTTCTCTCTCTGTAGGTCTGCCTCACTTTGGTGACAGACAATGATAATGGTGAGTGTCTATTTCCAACTGACTCCCTCCCTCACCCCCACAACAGATCCAATGTGAATGTCTAAATATTCTGCACAGATCCGCAGCAATTTTCTAACTACACTTCGTGGCATACACGGTGACAGAATCTACACGGAGTAAGTCATGAGCCAGCTTCATTGGACAGATAGTATCCATCAACTCTTCTACGGGTGTTGGTTATCCTGGAACTAACTGCTTGGAGGGTTTGGGTCAGGGAAGAGGCAGATGCTGAGTGATGCCCTATGCTGTGGAGATGCCTGTTGTCACAGGTGCAACAATGGGAGGAACATCCAGGGAAACTGAAGCCTGGAATCTACCTGTACCGTCATGGCACAGTGCCGTGGAGTGGCACAGAGGGCACCCCTCCTCACCCTTGCACGAACATCGCCTACAGTTTCACTGTTGCAAGCAGCTGCCAAAACCAGGGGATCGGCTCTGAGCCCGCCCTCTCTCTCTGTCCCCACTGAAGAACACTCTTTCCTCTTGGGTGTTCCCACCACTGTTTAACTCCATACCTCTTCAGATTTTGGAAAAGTTTCTTCACAGATGCAGATGGCTTTCTGAAACTCCCTCCCACCCATTCTCTTCGCAGACTCTCACTTCAAAATGCTCCGTCCCTTTAAATTCCCATGTGTACACAATCTTCCTCGTCCATCATGAACATCCTTTCTCCATCCATTTGAGTCTGCACTTGGTCCTCGGATGAATTGAGGAAGTAAGGCCGCACTGGAACGCTGAATAGGCTGGGGCTATATTCCCGGGAGTGTCAGAGGATGAGGGGTGACCTTATGAAGGTTCATAAAATCATGAGGGGCATGGATAGGGTGAATAGCCAAGGTCTTTTCCCCAGGGTAGGGGAGTCCAAAACTAGAGGGCATAGGTTTAAGTTGAGAGGAGAAAGATTTAAAAGGGACCCGAGGGGCAACTTTTTCACACAAGAGGGTGGGGTGTGTATGGAATGAGCTGCCAGAGGAAGTGGTGGAGGCTGGTACAGTTACAACATTTAAAAGGCATCTGGATGAGTACATGAACAGGAAGGGTTCAGAGGGATATGGGCCAAATGCTGGCAAATGGCACTAGATTAATTTAGGATATCTGGTTGGACTGAAGGGTCTGTTTCTGTACTGTACATCTCTATGATCCTATAAACTACCAGAAACTAAATTTGACAACATCTCTGATTCACTTAGAACTTCACACTTAGAACTTCACACTTAGAACTTCTACCCCCTTTACAAAAGCAGGGTCCAGGAGAAGACCAATTGGATGCAGCGTTTTTAGAGTAAACGGGCAGAGCTGCTGGCAGCTTCACGATACAAGTGGATGGTACTTTATCAGATCGGACCAATCAGAATGACATATATAGTTAATACTTCAGGTCATCAACCTTGCTTCAGGTTCCATCGACCTGAAACATTAATTCGCTTCCCCCTCTCTCCGGCAGCTGCCTGACCCGCTGAGCACGTCCAGTATTTTCTGTCTGTATTTCAGATTTCCAAACCCGCAGCATTTTGCTCTGTAACATTACACTGCACTCACTGAATCTCTTCCACTGATGGGCACTGTTTGAGAGCTTGTGCCAGCCTCTCCCCACCGGTCGCTGTGATGTTGTTCTGAGTCAAGCTAATGACGAAAAGACAAAAAGGTTGTGAAACATATTGAAATGCTAAAGCTACTGTTGCTTTATCACATCACAATAACCTGTACTACTATCTACAGTTATGGTAATGCTCAAGTGAAATTCATTGCTTATTGATAATTTGATGGGAATGATATCCCACTTTTCGTGGCATTGCGTTAAATTAAAAGTCCCTAGTCACCTTAATTTGGTATTTTTAATGTTACAATTTAAGAAAGGTGGGAAATCTGGGAATTAGAATCTACCTCAGCCTAAAGGCTGTTCTCAGCAAATGTCTGGGCTCTGCAATTACAAAGCAGCTTGAACAATTTTAGCTCATCAAAGAAAAAGAATAGAATAGAAATTAATTGTCATCTGTACTTAAAATACGGTGAAAAGTTTCATAGGTTACAAAGAGACAACCAGTACAGATTTACGAAGCCCACAGAATACTGGAGAAACTCAGCAAGTCTGGTTGGAAATGCTGAATTTCTCCAGCATTCTCTGTGTTTGTTTCAGATTTCCAGCATCCGCAGTATGTTACTTTTCATGGCTTTATAAAAGGCAGGTCATGCCTGACATAATTGCTGGCTGTTTTTGAAGAAAGGAGTAAAGTGGGGCACAGGGAAATGTCTTTGAATATTACATCTGTGGACTTTCAGTTGCAACTCAATGAGATCCAACATTAAAGACTGTCAGCTAAAATGAAAGCTCATGGAATTGAAGGAACATATTGACCATAGGGGAGGCAATGGCCTAGTGGTATTATTGCTGGACTGTTAATCCAGAGACCCAGATAACAGTCTGGTGATCCAGGTTCAAATCCAGCCATGGCAGATGGCAGAAATTGAATTCAATAAAATATCTGAAATTAAGAATCTAATGATGACCATGAATCCATTGTCAATTGTTGGAAAAACCCATCTGGTTCACTAATGTCCTTTAGGGAAGGAAACTGCCATCCCTACCTGGTCTGGCCTACATGTGACTTCAGACCCACAGCAATGTGGTTGACTCTGAACTGCCCTCTGGGCCATTAGGGATGGGCAATAAATGCTGCCTGGCCAGCGATGCCCTCATCCCATTAATGAATAAAAAATAAAAAAGGTTTGGAAATTGGCTAAACAACAAGAGACAAAGTTTAGGATTAATGGATGGATACAGTCAGGAAAGAAGTGACTCACAATATTCCATGGTGACTATGTAGGGACCCAGCCCCAACTATTCAGATATTTACTAACAACTCAGATGAATGGATGGATAGCCACATGTTCAGCTTTGCTGAAGTTACAACAATAGTGGAAGCATCCAATCATAAACAAATGTTAACAGATTAAATTCATGAGCCAAACAGGACTCTGCTGCCTGTTCTTAATTTGCAACAAGCCCTAGTCAGGATCCTTATGCAATCACTTACTTTAATATCTTCAAATGTTTCATAACAGGAAGTACATCGGCAAGTTTCATCGTCCCCACATCTTCAATGGAGTTACCATACAAGCTGAATCAGAACGGATGACATATTTAATTCAGAAATTACAGGAACATCGCTGTTCTCTCTCAACATTACTTAGCACATCAGAACAGTAAAATGAAATATAATATATCTTGCATTTTTATCTTGACTTGGTGTTCCATGCAGTTTGATGGCAACTCATACATTTGACACAATAATAGTAAACCTATACTGGGCTGAATGGATTCAGTCCGTCCTACAGGGTGAAATATTAGTAACGAACCTCTCAGTAGAGCTATCTGAAATTTGTTGTCTGTTCTTTTTGAGCTAAAGGATTACCCTGGGTTACCAAACTTTTCCAGACACTATGCCCTTTGGACACCCCCTATTTTACGGTGAGCATGCTCATATTAGACCATGTTGTGTGGCAGCAGCGTTATAATCATAAATGTAAAGATCTAATGATGCTTTCTTTCTGGTTGGATGTCCTTAATCATTTCCTAAATACTTTTTTGATAGTTACAGTACACAGTGGCAGATAGAATACAATGTGGCAAAGTGTGAGATTATACATTTTGCTGGGAAGAACAGAGCTGCGGACTAGTTTCTAAACAGGGAAAAGCTTCGGAAATCTGAAGCGCAAAGGGACTTGGGAATCCTTGTTTAGGACTCTGTTATGGTTAACATGCAGGTTCAGTTAGCAGTTAGGAAGGCAAATACAATGTTAGCATTCATTTCAAGAGGGCTACAATACAAAAGCAGAGATATACTAATAAAGCTGTATGAAGCTCTGGTTAGACTGCATTTGGAATATTGTGAACAGTTTTGGGCCCCGTATCTAAGGAAAGATGTGCTGGCATTGGGAGGGGATCCAGAGGAAGTTTACAAGAATGATCCTGGAGATGAAGGGCTTGTCATATGAGGAGCTGTTGGGGGCTCTGGTTCTGTACTTGGAAGTTTAGAAGGATGAGGGGGGATCTGATGGAAACTTATAGGATACTGAGAGGGCTGGACAGAGTGGTCCTGGAGAAGACATTTCCACTAGTAGGAGAGACTAGGACTCAAGAGTACAGCCTCAGAGTGAAGGGGCAACACTTTAGAACTGAATGAAGAGGAATTTCTTCAGTCAGGGGAGTGATGAATCTATGGAACACACTGCCACAGGGGGATGTGTTTTCTATAGGCCTCCGAAAAGTTCCAGAGATGTAGAGGAAAGGATTGCAAAGATGATTCTGGATAGGAGCGAAAGTAACAGGGTAGTTGTTATGGGGGACTTTAACTTTCCAAATATTGACTGGAAACACTATAGTTCGAGTACTTTAGATGGGTCAGTTTTTGTCCAATGTGTGCAGGAGGGTTTCCTGACACTGTATGTAGATAGGCTAACAAGAGGCGAGGCCACATTGGATTTGGTACTGGGTAATGAACCAGGCCAGGTGTTAGATTTGGAGGTAGGTGAGCACTTTGGTGATAGTGACCACAATTCGGTTACGTTTACTTTAGCGATGGGAAAGGATAGGTATATACCGCAGGGCAAGAGTTATAGCTGGGGGAAAGGCAATTATGAGGCGATTAGGCAAGATTTAGGATGCATAGGATGGAGAAGGAAACTGCAGGGGCTAGGCACAATTGAAATGTGGAGCTTGTTCAAGGAACAGCTACTGCGTGTCCTTGATAGTATGTACCTGTCAGGCAGGGAGGAAGTGGTCGAGCGAGGGAACCGTGGTTTACTAAAGAAGTTGAATCTCTTGTCAAGAGGAAGAAGGAGGCTTATGTAGAGGTGAGGCGTGAAGGCTCAGTTAGGGCGCTTGAGAGTTACAAGTTAGCCAGGAAGGACCTAAAGAGAGAGCTAAGAAGAGCCAGGAGGGGACATGAGAAGTCTTTAGCAGGTAGGATCAAGGAAAACCCTAAAGCTTTCTATAGGTATGTCAGGAATAAAAGAATGACTAGAGTAAGATTAGGGCCAGTCAAGGACAGTAGTGGGAAGTTTGCGTGGAGTCCGAAGAGATAGGAGAGGCGCTAAATGAATACTTTTTGTCAGTATTCACACAGGAAAAAGACAATGTTGTCGAGGAGAATACTGAGATACAGGCTATTAGACTAGACGGGATTGACGTTCATAAGGAGGAGGTGTTAGCAATTCTGGAAAGTGTGAAAATAGATAAGTCCCCTGGGCCGGATGGGATTTATCCTAGGATTCTCTGGGAAGCTAGGGAGGAGATTGCAGAGCCTTTGGCTTTGATCTTTATGTCGTCATTGTCTACAGGAATAGTAGGAATGTTGTCCCCTTGTTCAAGAAGGGGAGTAGAGACAACCCTGGTAATTATAGACCAGTGAGCCTTACTTCGGTTGTGGGTAAAGTGTTGGAAAGGATTATAAGAGATAGGATTTATAATCATCTAGAAAGGAATAATTTGATTAGGGATAGTCAACACGGTTTTTGTGAAGGGTAGGTCGTGCCTCACAAACCTTATTGAGTTCTTCGAGAAGGTGACCAAACAGGTGGATGAGGGTAAAGCAGTTGATGTGGTGTATATGGATTTCAGTAAAGCGTTTGGTAAGGTTCCCCATGGTAGGCTATCGCAGAAAATATGGAGGCATGGGATTCAGGGTGATTTAGCAGTTTGGATCAGAAATTGGCTAACTGTAAGAAGACAGAGGGTGGTGGTTGATGGGAAGTGTTCATCCTGGAGTTCAGTTACTAGTGGTGTACTGCAAGGATCTGTTTTGGGGCCACTGCTGTTTGTCATTTTTATAAATGACCTGGATGAGGGCGTGGAAGGATGGGTTAGTAAATTTGCGGATGACACTAAAATCGGTGGAGTTGTGGATAGTGCGGAAGGATGTTGCAGGTTACAGAGGGACATAAATAAGCTGCAGAGCTGGGCTGAGAGGTGGCAAATGGAGTTTAATGCAGTAAAGTGCGAGGTGATTCACTTTGGAAGGAGTAACAGGAATACAGAGTACTGGGCTAATGGTAAGACTCTTGGTAGTGTGGATGAGCAAAGAGATCTCGGTGTTCATGTGCATAGATCACTGAAAGTTGCCACCCAGGTTGATAGGGTTGTTAAGAAGGCATACGGTGTGTTAGGTTTTATTGGTAGAGGGATTGAGTTTCGGAACCATGAGGTCATGTCGCAGCTGTACAAAACTCTGCTGCGGCTGCACTTGGAGTATTGCGTACAGTTCTGGTCACCGCATTATAGAAGTATGTGGAAGCATTGGAAAGGGTGCAGAGGAGATTTACCAGGATGTTGCCTGGTATGGAGGGAAGGTCTTATGAGGAAAGGCTGGGGGACTTGAGGCTGTTCTCGTTAGAGGGAAGAAGGTTAAGAGGTGACTTAATAGAGACATACAAGATGATCAGAGGATTAGATAGGGTGGACAGTGAGAGCCTTTTTCCTCGGATGGTGATGGCTAGCACGAGGGGACATAGCTTTAAATTGAGAGGTGATAGATATAGGACAGATGTCAGAGGTAGGTTCTTTACTCAGAGAGTAGTAAGTGTGTGAAATGCCCTGCCTGCAACAGCAGTAGACTCGCCAACTTTAAGGGCATTTAAATGGTCACTGGATAAACATATGGATGATAATGGAATAGTGTAGGTTAGATGGGCTTCAGATTGGTTTCACAGGTCGGCGCAACATCGAGGGACAAAGGGCCTGTACTGCACTGTAATGTTCTATGTTCTATGATGTGGAGGCCAAGTTATTAAGTGTATTTAAGATAGCGATAGATAGGTTCTTGATTAGTAAAGGAGTCAAGGGTTACACAGAAAAGGCAGGGGTTGAGAAATATATCAGCCATAATCAAATGGGGGAGTGGATTCGATATGCTGAATGGTTTAATTCTGCTCCCATATTTCATAGTCTTGCGGTCCAAAGCTCAGACCATGTTCATCACTTGCCACATTCGAACTAAAGGTTGTTACTGAGGCTCCTACAGTTTTAATTTGTGATGGATCACCTTTACTCTTCATTCATGAGGCCTTAACTGAATTAATCTCAATCAAAAACTTTTGTGCTCTCTCACACACTATGGTACATCTGATTAAACATGGTCAGATTGCATACTAAAAGCATGAGAAGGAAGCTAGTGTTTCTTGCTATTTTGTGGGGCTATTTGCGTGTTTATTTTCCCTTTTTTTTGACTACCTTTATCCTTCCAGTTGCATGCTGCATTTGGAGGGATGGTGCAATGTGGGAGGTGAGCTTGCCAACTGTCAGTAGTCAGGAGAACGTACCAGGCATTACCCAGGGATAACTCCTCACTTTTTATATTCTTTCATGGGACAAGGGCACTGCTGGCAGGGTCAAAATTTGTTATCCATCCCTTACTGACCCTGAACAGAGCGGCTCTCTCGGCCATTTCAGAGGTCAATTAAGTGTTTTGGATCTGGAGTCATGTGTAGACCAGAAAAGATTAAGATGGCAGATTTCCTCCCCTAATGGAAATTACTATTAAAATGAATTTTTAGAACAAAAAGCAACAGTTATCATGGTCATCACTTCTGAGACTAGGTTTAAGCTCCAGATTTACTCATTAAATTTAAGTTCCACCTGCTGAAACAGTGAGATTTGAATCTGTGCCCATTAGCTGGGGCTAGCTAGTGTATTAACCCAGTGACATTACCACTATGCCACCATCTTCCCCTTCCCCAGCAAGGAATCCTGCAGTGAGTAACTCACCTCGCGATTCCCAAAGCTTGTCCACAATCTACAAGGCCCAAGTCAGGAGTGTGATGGAATACTCCCCACTTGCCTGGATGAGTGCAGCTCCAACAACACTCGAGAAGCTTGACAACATCCAGGATAAAGCAGCCCGCTTGATTGGCACTACATCTACAAGCATCCACTCCCTCCACCACTGACGCTCAGTAGCAGCATTGTGTACTATCTACAGGATGCACTGCAGAAATTCACCAAAAATCCTTTGACAGCACCTTCCAAACCCATGACCAGTTCAATCTAGAAGGACAAGAGCAACAGATATGTGGGAACACCACCACCTGCAATTTCCCCTCCAAGCCACTCACCATCCTGACTTGGAAATATATCACCATTCCTTCGAATCCTGGAATTCTCTCCTAAACAGCACAAAGGGTGCACCTACATTAGGTGGATGGCAGCAGTTCACCACCACTTCCTCACAGGAAGTGGGATGGGCAATAAATGCCAGTCCAGCCAGTGATACCCACATCCTATTAACAAACACAAAAACTGCCACTATACAACACACCTTCCGATGGTGCTGGATTGCCAGGCTGGATGTTACTTAACTCTCATGAATGAGATTCAGTCAAAGTAGTTAGCTGTGTGCAAAGTAGTATGAAATGTTTCTGAGGATCCCTTAAGTTTGGTAATTAAATATGCCAGCAGAGAGTCGGACCTTTGCATGAGGTGGAATCAGACAGATCAATGAGGTAATATACTTACTCTATTTCTACAATCGCAGGGCAGCCTTTCAGTCCTCTTGCAAGATGTTCTGCCCCTTTGTAACCAATGGAGTTTGACCTCAAACTAGGGGAAGAAGAGGAGATGATATTAATGTCTCTGATAACTACTCAGGTCATTCCAATGCCAAAAACATTTGGAGGTGCTCAGAGGCATTGGAAGAAAGTGTTTGAATTTCTTAGCTACGTCCCTTTCTTTAAGTCTTCTTTGTTCCCACAATTCAATATCACACACATTCCATCAGCGCTCAGCAGGTACAGACTAACAATCCAGCCAGATGGGTAGGGAATAAAACATGCGTTTATTTACATTACATTTATGAGGATATTCCGGTGTGGTTTTCTTTTTATAATCTTACTTTTCTGATGCAGGCATCAGATGCTTGTGTACCTTTTGCTTTTGAGGTTCCTGGCAGTAATACCTATTACTGGCCACAAAGAGGTAGTAGAGACCACAAATGGCATTGAAATAATGGCACATGAAACTTTTACTGATGGTGTAGACTGATATTGAGACAGCAGAACTCATCTGCTCTGATTCAAACAGTGCCATGGGATCTTTTACATTGAAAATCAAAGGCAGACAAGCAACATTCCCTTTAATATCAAGCACAACTTAATAGGTTAGGCATTTATTCATAGAGTTTAGAAGAATAAGAGGTTACGTAAATGAAACATACAAGATTCTGAGGGATAACACAGTGTGGAGCTGGAGGAACACAGCAGGCCAGGCAGCATCAGTTCCTCCAGCTTCACACTGCGTGTTATCTCTGACTCCAGCATCGACAGTTCTTACTATGCCCGAAGATTCTGAGGGGGTTGGACTGGGTAGATATGGAGATGTTTTCGCTCATGGAGGGGTATCTGAAACGAGGGGAGATAGTTACAGAATAAGGTGACACACATTTCATTCTGAGATCATGAGGAATGTCTTCTCCCAGCCAGTAGTGAATGCCTGGAATTCTTTTCCCCAAAGGGTTGTGGAGGCTAGATCACAATGGTATTTAAGAGGAGGTAGCTATAAAACGGTTAAGGGCTATGATGAGCTGAGGCCAGAGACAGATCAATCATAATCTGGTTGACCATAAGATACAGGAGTAGAATAAGGCCATTTGGCCCATTGGTGGCAGGATAGGTACGAGGAACTGAATGACCTACTCTTATGCTTTATGGAAAATCAGACTAGATCATGTCTTCAAGACAATGTAACAGGGCTTGAACCTATGGCCATCTAACTGCTGCAGCAGATACTTTGCCACTCAGCAGTAGAAAGCATTCTGTATCCTGTTTGTTGAGTTGAGAATGCGAACATCAATTTATCAGCAGGAAAGTGACTCACTAAAGCCCTGGTTGAACTTCGATCATGTCGAAGCAGAAAGATGTCGATTGGATGACAAGGCAGTACTAAAGTTTCACTTGACTGCAGTGAAGCCAGTAAATTTACAGCATGTTACGGACAATAGGAACTGAAGACGGAATCAATGGGAAAAGATGTTGGTTTTCAATGGTTGGTTAGTAATGATTGTCAGAAAATTAATAACACTAATTAAAGTAAAAGGAGCAGATAAGAGTATTTACTTTTGTGTAGAATGGAACTTCTGACCAAAAACAGCAGTAGAAATAAAATCCAATCCAACTTATGAAAGAGGTGCGGATGAACAGCTAGGAAAGAAACATTTTAAATGGCTTAAGGGAAAGGCAGGGAACCAATTTTTTTTTCCTTTCTTCATTCACAGGATGAGATTGTCACTGACCAGGCAGCGTTTATTACCCATCCCTAATTGGTGAGAGGGCAGTTTAGAGTCAACCACATTGCTGTGGGTTGGGAGTCACATGTAAGCCATCACATCATGGCAGCTTCCTTCCCTAAAGGACATTTGTGAACCAGATGCATTTTGCAACAATCAATTCATGGTCATCATTAGATTCTTAATTCCAGATATTTTTATTGAGTTCAAATTCTACTATCAATTGTGGCAGGATTTGAACCTGGTTCCCCATAACGTTATCTGGGTCTCTAAGATTAGCAGTCCAGTGATATTACCACTACGCCATTGCCTCCCCCTAACTCAAAATGGCCACTTTCTGTGAATGTCTTTGGGTTTATGGGGTAGACTTTCCACTCGCGGCCTGTTGTGATGCAGATTTTCAGCCCATCATTGAAACCACTTATCTTTCAGCTCTAAAGGTTTCTGTAATGGATGGCCAATCAGCATTTCCAGTTCACATCCAGGGGACAAATTGAGCTGGAAGATTCACATATCAGGAAATTGGGAGCAGATGTCACCACCTCTAAGGAATTTCCTGTTGGTGGCGTGCGTGCATTGTAAAATCCACCCTGCGGTTGTCTTCACGCCTCCTATGAACCTATCTTCGTATTTGTTAAAATTTGAACAAAATCACGAGAACTCACTTTAATTTCTTCAGACAGGCCATTCTTAGCATCCCAACAGCTAACAACAGCGCCCCGCTGTCACTCAGCACCAAGGAATCCAAACTGCACAAGAAGAAAGAGAAGAGGGAGGTATTAATGTCTCCCGTGCCATTTCCTTCAAGTGCCAAACATTCCAATCATTTTTGGAGCATATTAAATGAAAGAGCAGAATGCGTCATTGCCTGTTGGATGAAACACCAAACCAAAGCCCCATCTCCCTTCTATGCATAGGATGTCAAAGATTCTATGTCACACTACTAAAGAAGATTGGGGAAGATATCCCCATTTTTTGGCCAATTATTATCAGCCTGGCAAAAGCAGATGATCTTGACATTAATACATGTCTGTAAGTGTTTCCCGTGCACATCTGGGCTGGTGCCTTCCCTGCAGCAGGAAATGTCCACTACACGACATTACCACACAGTGATAATACCTCAGAAAGACATCATTGGTTGTAAAATGTTTGCGGTATCAATGGTTGCAAAAACCTGATAAAAATGTAGGTCTCCCTTCTTTTTTTGGATTGTGCCCATTAATCAATGGATCAAAGTGGCTTCTTTGATTGATGAGATGGACAGGTGAATGGGTTGCACTCGGTTGATGGACCAATGGATCAGGAACAAAATGGAGAGAACAACAAGAGATCGGAATTTGGAGCAGGAGTACACCACATGGCTGACTGAGTCTGCTCTGCCACTCCATATGACCAAGGCCAATCCTCAGTCTCAATTCTACTTTCTCTTCAAATCCCTCAATTCCCCAAGAGACCATGATCAGTCTGTCTCAGCCTTAAATATATTTAACAATGGAGCATTTCCAACCCTCTGCAGTAGAAGATTGCAAAGTTCACAGCTTTGAATGGAATAATTTCTCCTCATCTCAATCCTAAATGATCTGCCTTTATTCTGAGACTATAATCCAATGTTTTGGATTCCCCAGCCAAGGGAAACATTCTCTCAGTGTTCGACCCTGTCACACACCTTGTGGATATCCATGAGATCACCTCACATGTTTCTAAACTCCAGAGAATTTTGACCCATTTTCCTCTGCCCCTTGACAGATCCCTCATCCCAGATTCCAATCACGTGAGACTTTGTTACACAGCCTCTGATATACTTTCTGGTTTTCTCTTTCTGTGTCTGTGTCACAAATACGGCAGAAAATTGGGCTCCTACTGTGTCAGGTGGCTTGAAGTTTATTAGCAACATTAACTACTTACAAAGCCAGAACATCACAGACTCAAAAATGTAGTCTGGGTTCTGTGCTTATTGATGTATTGTACATTACATACACATAGCTGACTGACTAAAGACATTACACTGTCTCGATTACACAGAGAGTGTGTGACAGAAACAAGGCAGAAACTGTTATACCAGAATTGAGTTGGGGTCTGGGACCTGGGCCAGGAGCAGCACTAGGCCCCGTGATTTCTGCCCTGGATTATGATGTCTCGCTGTCTGTCCACCCCTGCTCGCCATCAGGAGATGGCACATCGTTTCATTTGTCTCCCTTCACTTTCCATTTCCTATCAGGCTGTGCGCTCTCTCACTCCCTCCTAGCCTCTTCACCACTGATCCCTTTCTTTCAGACTCCATCTTGACCTCTCTCCTTCCTGTTTGGCTGTTGTTGCCAAGTTACTCTCATTAAATCAGCACAAGGGGCAACATTCCCACAAGTAGTCCTGGCTTATGTTTGAGAAACAAGGCAGTGTTCTACTCACTTTATCTCCTCCAGCCTCGTGCAGTTACTTAGCCCCATGGCCAATCTATTTGTTCCGACCAAACCGGCAGCTGTAGAAATTCCAGAGAAGCTGAAACAACAAAAATGATGTAAAAAATTAGAAGGGACTACCAGGAAAACTTGGAACCAAAACACACACACACTCATTTGCCTTGTCTTGTGTATCTGAAAATGGAGCTCCATCTACAACCATTACTTTTGGTTCCCAGTTTGTTTTACTGGGTTCTCTCTCTCTAGGCCAATTGGACCTTGAAGTCTGTTCTACCAACTAATGATCATGATCAATCTGTCAAGACCTCTCAGCATCTTACAGTCTTAAGATAATCTCTCATTCCTCTAAACTCTAGTAGGTGTAGGCACAGCCTGCTCAACGTTTCCTTAAAGACAAAGCCCTTCTCTCCAGGATTCCAGTTAGCAAACCTTCTTTGAGAACCTTCCTATGAAAGTTGTGCACATTGCACATGGAATAATCCCTCCAATATAAGACATGCCTACTCTTGTGGTCCATCCCCCTTGCAATAACGATCAACATTCTCCTGGGTTTTTGAGGTTCATGCTGTAGCTGCAAAGAAAAATCAATGGCAACATTTAACTCCGATAACAGTGCCCTGCAACCAAACTGAATGATGCCAAGTTTGCCAGGTTGTCTAATCTACCAACCACTGGTAGAAGGTATCATGGAACTTAGAGACTTCAATTAATATAACTTGCTGAAGAGCTGGCCTTAATTGTATGGAAATGAAGTGGAGGACAGAAAAAAAAAATGACTGATTAAGTGGCACTGACACTCCTATTGTATCATGCCAATCGTTTTAAGTAATCACACACTTCGAACCTGAAACTTAAAATCACTTAATGCCCCTCACGCTGAATTAGAATTTTAAGAGAATTAAATAAATGTATGCCTGTAGTGGCAAAGTCACTAAAATAAAGATAAACAGGATTTTAAGGAAGTAAATTATTTTATGTTCTAAAAGAAACGGACTTTTTTAAATTAATGGTGGAGAAATTTGACATTCCACAAATATGATAATAGCTTAAGACCAGTGAGTATATTTGGTCATAATTATTAAGTTTGTACATTGTCAAAACACCAGTTAAACCTTACGAAACAAATCCCCAGAAGAACTGAGGATGCTGTAAATCTGAAACGAAAACAGAAATTATTGGAAAAACACAGCAGGTCTAGCAGTATCTGTAGAGAGAAACAGAATTATTGTTTCAGGTCCAGAGACCCTTCTTCAGAAAAGTTAAACCTCACTGGAGCAAGATGCTTTCAGGGTTTTTACAATGAGAATAACAGAGTTATTCAAACATCAAGCAACTCTCTACATGGTCTAACAATATACAACATATATATATGTTTGCATAAGGGTAACAAATACTAACATTGCAAGCAACATTTAAATCTCAATAAAAACATAAATTGCAAGATTTAATGACATCCTAAAACTTTAACATATATCTTTATGATTCTCTTAGTGCAGTTTTATTTGGAGGTAGTTCACAGGGAACAATCATATCTGAAAAGATGGATGGTTGTAAACATTGCAAATGATTTAAAGTTTTAAGATGAACCATGGGGTGATAAAACCTAATGTTAAAATGACTCCCATTTTTCTGAAGGTCGGTCACTGGACCCGAAATGCTAACTCCGCTTTCTTTCCACAGATGCTGCCAGGCCTGCTGAGATTTTCTGTTTGTGTTTCTGACTCCCATTTTACCTCGATTATAGTCTCAAGTGGGTTGGGGAGATGGTGGCATTGTAGTAATGTCACTAGGCCTAGTAATTCAAATGCTGTAGGTGACATGGGTTCAAACCCTATCATAGCTGAGGGTAAAATTTGAATTCAGTAAAAGTCTGGAATGGAAAGCGAGCCTCATGGTGACCAGATTGCCAATCTTGATCATCATAAAAATTCATCTAGTTCACTATTGCCCCTTTAGGGGAGGAAATCTTCCATCCACTGCAGGGAGAGTATCATGATGTTTGAGTTTTCATTTAATATAACTTGACCTACATGTGACTCCAGAACTATGGCAATTTGGCTGACTCTTAACTGCCCTCTGGGCAATTAGGGATGGGCAATAAATGCTGATCTAGCCAGCAACACTTACATCTTGAATGAGTAAAAAAAATGATAAAGCAATGCTGAAGATGATTAAATTCATAGAATTTCAGGTCCTGAGAAACTATTCCGATGATATAGTTATGGGTAGTGTCATGTGATTTATAGGCAAGCTTAAGGGGATCCCCTTACATTACAATTGAGAATCAGGTGTCATACAGTTGTTTCCTGTCTGGTATAACAGTAAAGAATGTCTAATCTAATCAGGGAATCTTACTTGATCTTCTTCAGTTGTTCCAACACTGGAAGGATTTTCTCCAGTTCAGTTGCTCCCTCCTCTCCCAGTTCATTTTGTGACAGGCTGAAATGAGAGAAAAAGAACAGAGGTGTCATGAGACAGCAGCTTAGCAACTGATGCAGCTGGCTTTAAACATCAGCTACAAAGTTTGACAGAGCCAATCGCTCATTGGATCAGGAGTCAATATTGGCCAGGACGCGAAAGAGAACTCGCTGAATCTTCTTTTACCCTTCATGTTTAATATTTGTTCCAGAACGCTGCGCAACACCGGTTGAGATGGATATAACCGTGTGAAGTTTCCTGCAACAACAGTTTTGTCAAGAGATGGCAAAGAAGTAGATCAGGGTGCGACCAGATCCTGCAGGTCTGAAATGATGCCATCACTTTGTGAAAAACTGATCTAAACATGCCATGGCCCAAACTATGTCGAGTCACACATGGTGTAGCCAATGGCCAATAGTGGCCCCATTGCCTGTAGATGTCAATGTCCTGTTGCTGGAACTACTTCTGGGTCCACAGCTCCCACGTTTCAGTAGAATGCCTGCCCACTTAATTCAACATGAGCTGGCTCATTATTAGGCCTCCTCCTCACTCACCATCCAATCAGGGACAGTGGGTGGCTCACCGATGGGAATGAACCAATTGGATAGGGCACAGGAAGGACCTGCTCAATAAGACCAGATCCCCACAGCTCAGGCAGGCAGATTAGTCCAAGAGTTCCTCATGGTCTATATCTAGTGACAGTGAGCCTGATTGAGCCAGTTTATACAGATATGTTGTATGGCTGGGATATATCCATTATTGAGGAGGGTCTTGTGGTTCAGTGGTAGTGTCCCTTGTACAGTTCAAGTCCCACCTGTGTCTGAGCAGGTTCATTTGAAAGATCTATATCCATGATTAAAATGAATGGACATTGAGCAGCTTGGAAAGTGTCTGACAGAGAATTATAGAGTGACAAGTGAAGGTGCTAAAGAGAGCAATATGGTGCAGCAGGAGGGGCATTTGTACATACATTATAACAGTGAAAATTTAGCTGCTTAATATTAGTGAAACCATCACAACAAATATCAAGAAGACGACCCACAGGGATAGAGATTCATGAAATGACAGTAAGACCTCAAGGGAGGACCTCAACTTCCCACGGTATCATAAAGACTTGATAGTATTGAGTACCTGCCCCAACACCCTATGGTCTTCCAAAAATCTTTGAATGCTAACGCAGTGTCATCCTTGTTATGATGCAGGAAATGACACTACCTCTTATGAAGCTGTATCAAGTCTTCTTGTCTTTAAAATCAAAGACAATAAAATGAATGCCAGAGTTTTCATCCACTTTAACATCTCCATATCCGATACTGACCCAGTCTCAGGCCAGCAGCTTCTGGGTCCTCAAGTCAAGGCCTACTTTTTGGGAGATCCAGTGGCGAGAAGCCAAGTCATTCTTAACCTCTTGTGGCATGGTAGTTGTCATGGGGAGAGGAGGGTCAGAGACAAGGGCATGGATAGGTCATTCAGAGGAAAACCTCTTGCCTCCACCCCTCATCCATGTCTCCCCGATGACCCCAGACTTGGGGAATTGGAGACCTCTCAAACTGACATGTGTGGTGGACCAAAATATATGAAGAAGAAAGCCTAGACTCTAACTTTTTCTTATTTTAAAGGCAAGTGCCAGGTGTTGTGTTCCAGATGCAATTCAATTGGTCAAACTGCTAGAATTGAAGCAAACACACTTTATTCCTACACTACACTTAAAATACAACAAAAGAAAGAAGGAATTGGAATAACTTAACTGTATTGGAAAACTTAACAGAACAATAGGTTATTTAGCTACTAAACAGTAACTGCTCCAATCTAGTAATATCCCATAAGTACACCTTTGGCAAAGACAAATTCAGAAAAAAATAGATTGTCTCACATGCAACTCTAATAGTGGGAAGAGAACCCCAGCTTTTAGCTGTAACAGAGAGAGGAAAAACAGCTTCCAAACCCAGCTCCAAGATCCCAGCGACTGTTACTGAAAAACTGAAACTAAAAATACCTGGTTCTGTGGGAGCTTGACGCCACCCATTCAGGCTGCTTCTATTGTTCCAACCTTTTAAAAAAAAACTCCCAAGGCCTCACAAACTGTTTATTAATTCTGAGTAAACCACTTGTCACGTCTCTCTCAATTTTTCTCCACAAAAAAAAGGACAAAATATACCTCTTAAAGCCATAGTATCGTCACACAGGCAGGTCGCCATGGTTACCTAGTCAGGAAACTAGCCACTTGTCTTGCCCTTTGGGGCAACAGTTGATGGGAAGAGGTGGACAATTGAGGCAATTAAGTGACAATTAATTGACCCCTAAAGGCTTGTAATTGCTGGTGTATCAAGGAAGTGGCCCTTGGGCCTTCCTGCCCAGCACTTATTTGCTGGGATGGCAAGCAAGGAGAAAGTTTCTGTCCAGGGACAACGCATCCCATCCCTTTCCCCCCTTCTTGTCAGGTCTCTCACTACCTCCTGGGCAAATCGCACTGTTTTTATTGGCATAAATTGGGTTATGCCCAATATTCCTGACAAAACACCACACGGCACATGGAGTATTTCTTCATGTTGACTTCAAGGAGGTGAATTGCAGACACCCAAGTCCAGATAACCTGCTCAAAGGTGGTACAAAGTGCAACCTAAAGTAGAGGGCTTTGAAAATAAAATTAGAATTAAAAATGTTGGGAAATGACAAACTTTTAAAAGCATTGGGAAATATAAAAAAAAGGTGTTTACCATCTCTTCCCCAGAGATATATGAGCCCATTTTTATTCTGTTAATATATGAGTTGACCCATTCATCACTTGGTGGGAACATGAAACCGAAACAACAGTTTTGAGAATAAAATGTTGCAGCTTTTACAAACACTGGAATTCCTGTAAGACATTTCTGCACATGGTTGAAGCTGGCAGCCCACAGAGTGATGCTTCAGTTACCTGCTCGGCACATAGCTACTGCCCTCTTTAGAGAAGCTAAAGCCATTGGATTTCTTGGTTCAAAACATAAAACTGAAACAGAACCAGTGGGTTTGCCTTCATGCTCGACTACAAACTCAAAGTTCAAAGAAAGACATGGTCAGAGATGGGGAGGTCACTATTGCCAAGGAAAGGGTTATGGAGCAATGCTGCAGATCATTATGATCTCAGTGAATGATAGAGCAGGCTTGAGGGACTGTAAGGGCCTGCTCCTGGTCCTACATGAATTGACTGGTTTCAAGGAATTAATCAGGTATAGTGTGTTTGGCACATAAATAAAAAGTGTTTAGCCTGAGTTGTTTACGCTGTTGTTTATACTCCACACCAGCTCTCTCCCTTTATATCTCGTCTCACATTATTGACATATCTTTCTGTATATTTCCCCCTGATGAAGCTGTCCTGCTTCCCCTGACGGCATCTACAGCCTATCCCCTTAAATATTCCACGTGGCAGGCTTCACAATCTAACCAGGTTAAGCAGACAAGATCTGAGAGTCGATTGCTGGGAAATTGGAGACAATCAGAAAAGTGTCACAGACATGCCTGTGTATCTGCCTGTCTCTGTGTCCGTGCGTGTGTGTCTATAAGTCTGTGTGTGTCTGCATCTGCATGAGTGTCTGTGTCTACGTGTCCCCACGTGTACCTGTATCTCTGTGCATCTCTGTCTGTGTCTCCTCTGTGTATCTCTGTGTCTAGCACACACATTTAAAGTCTAGTGGGCCCAGTCTCTGCTGCTACAGTTGAGCAGAGATCTGGGTGAGGATCGGTGATGGACGTTCTCCTGCACTAATCACTAAAAGTGATCTTCTGACATGTGGCTAGTGGACCTCCTACGGCGGCAGTTTGCAGGTGACAGGCTGCTTATCTCATATTGTACAACTTCTAAAAAGACTTGCATTTCTATAGCGCCTTTCACAGTCTTAGGACATCCCAAAGTGATGACGTACTTTTAAAGTGCAGTCACTGATGGAATGGAGGTGAAACAGGAGCCAAGTTGCCCATTTGATAGTGATCCAATCCTCTGGTGTTAGAATTGTTGACTGAGGGATCAATATTGGCCCAGATACCAAATAAAGCTCCCCATGGGCTAAGGTGTATCTTAACCTCAGGTGACTGCACCTTATCCAAGGTTATCGTCTGGGGAGACACTGGAAACTGCAGTATCATCCCCACAAGGCCAAGAACTGAACCTATTGGTCTCCTGGTGACAGATCACAGGGAACATAGACAGTGGCAACGGAGTAAATGTCAATAAGATGGATCAAGAATATTTCCCACATGGGGAAGCAACGCGCAGAAATCAAAATAAAGTGAAGAAATCAAGCAAATCAAAAAGCCTAAACTTACTTTATGTCTTCGATGCTGCGACATTTGCGGAGACATGCTGCTAGGGTCACCATCCCATGTGAGTTGATGCCGATGGATTCGAGGCTGCAAGCAGAGAGGAAATGTAACAGTGCCCGCAGCAGCAACATTGGAACATGAGGAAGAGCTGTTTTCTCCGAGGGAGAAAGAGGACCAATTTTAAAAGTCGTTAGGATAAATCAGCCACCTTCAACTCCTCCTATCGTGCATTCAGCTGTCCGCTCTCAGAGTGAACAAGAATAAAAGTCCAGCTAACGATAAAACTATCAGAAATCTGAACTAATTGTTCTGTGACGGACCACGAGAAACTACAGCGACCTTGGTGTGAAAATCACGCTCGTTTTAAATCACACTGAATCAGTCTGCCCTCAATCGTTTACCATTCTGTCTTCAAGGTGCTAGCAACTTGCTAAGGTCCAATTCCACTGGCGCTAACTGTCCTCCGTTAGTGAACAAAAGTCAGCGCTGTTACATAACAGGTCAGTCACGGAAGGATTGTCATCAGGAACGCGGCTGAACAAGGTTACAATTTCCAAGCTGCAGACAGAACCTCTGCACAGGCTCAAACAGTCAGTGAAAGGAGCTGGGTTCTCCCCAAGGACAGGGCTGAGTGTTGGGGTCAGTATTACAGAAACCCTGGGGCTGAAGTGGAGACGTCATTACAGCTGCGGCCACAGACTGCCCAGAGAAGGGGATTCCCTCTCCGCAATGGCACTCGATCTTCAGGCGCCCTCACTCTCTCTTCTACATCTGTATGAGCAAGCTGCCTCTCTCACAGGACCTGCAGGGCTGCTTATGGGCTCTCCAGCTTTGGGATCTCTCTCTCCCTCTCGCCCCTCTCCCCACTATCCTCAGACCATTACTTAGCCATTTCCTCAAATACCATCTCAGGTCACCATTCTCAAGCGTGGGAGTAAGCTCCAACTAGGAGTGCCAGTAGGGTATTAGACCACAGGGCAGTTACAACTCAGCCTGATCTTAGTATGAAACATGTTGGAAACAGCAGAGCGGCTCTTGTGGTGCAGCGTAGTGCCCGTGCCTCTGAGCCAGGAAGGATGGGTTCAACTCTCAGCTTCTCTAAAAGTATGTCATAATATGTCTGAACAGGTTAATCAGGAAATATCTGTACAACTTCCCACCCAGCCCATTGTCCAGTAGCACTGAAGCTTAGAGCAGAATATCTACTCTTAATTCAGTATATCTGAGGATTAACAAGATCATACTGGTGTGTAGCACAGTTTCACATTATGTAATGCACTTAATCCATGAATTATCTAAGCAGCTGCTCCACATCCTAATTTTATGAATCAATTTAATGTAGAATTAGTCAGATTTACAAAAGTCTCCTTGATATTCCGGAGTGTTTTATAGACAGCTCTTCCAGAACTTACCTAAGCTTCTTCAGTCTTCGGAACACAGGAAGGACGTCAGCCAGTACTTCCGCTCCTTTGTTGCCGATTTTGTTTTGAAATAAACTGAAAATACACGAAGAAGGTCTGTAACTCCATAAATAATAAGAAAACACCATCACTGAACAAGTTGCCCAGTTTCCTCTCACAACATCTACCAAACTCAGTTGCAGCATCCACTCACTGTCTTAGCCATCCCAATGCTGAACAAAACCAAAATTTCAAAGCCTCCTGCTCCATGGCATTGGGTTACAGCTTTCGAATATTTCTACTGCCCACAACAGATAGAGACACCCTCACTGAACCTCACAATGACAGACTTTGGAAAGACCTGCAGTTTATACAACAACTCACTGCTGCTTTCCTAAATATCCCAATTCAGTCATCCTGAATTGAATGCATTTGAAAGGCAGTGATGGTCTTTCAATATGGCAACCATTTTGCATTAAAACAGAACCCACAAAATAACCTGCTGCTGTGTTCTTGACCATGATAGTTGAGGGAGGAGTGTTGGTCAAGATACTAAGTGATCTCCAAGATCTTCTGTAGTTAGTGGCAAGGGATTTTTAATAACCAATGATGAAAAGGAGAGAAATGTGGCTTACTGTCTCATCTAAAACATGGCACCTTTGACAATGCAACTTAGTAATGAATCAGTTTAAATTATAGGAGCTGGAGTGGGATTTAAGCCTCCCCTCCCCAGGCCAAAACTGGAGGGCATAGGTTCCACTCTCACCTTAAACCTAAGGGACAACTTTTTCATGCAGAGGGTGGTGCGTGTATGGAATGAGCTGACAGAGGAAGTGGTGGAGGCTGGTACAATTACAACATTTAAAAGGCATCTGGATGAGTACACAAATAGGAAGGGTTTAGAGGGAAATGGGCTAAATGCTGACAAATGGACTAGATTAATTTAAGATATCTGATCGGCATGGATGAGTTGGACTGATTGGTCTGTTTCCATGCTGTACATCTCTATGACTCTATGACACAGAAAATTACAATTACTAACACATTAATGTGATGCACTGAATCATCAAACACTGTGATAAGAGAAAAAACATAGGCAGGCTCCTACTTTGGGCAGAATTACAACTTAATTCTGTGTGTAATATTCCCCACAGCATAAGAGTTAGAGACCTAACAAATGACAGAATCTTTACACAGAGTATATTACAGGAATGTACAAGGGGTCTGTATGTTCTTCAAAATAATTCTATCTTATCCATAATGAGGAGGCTGTGGCTAGGCTCACTGCTTTATATTAATAAACCACAATAAACATAGTGGAATTATGAGAAGTCCCTGGATTTTTATTAGCTTTTGGAAATTAACTTTTGCAATTCTACCTTTTTCTTTATGAAAAACTAAACAAAACACAATAGATTTATCCGTGGGAAGACACACTAAGAGCTCCTGCTTCACATTTGCAGAAGGAATGCAGTAGGAGGTGTTTTACGGTACACATGCCTCCATCTGTAAGCACAGTGCAGAACTATTAGAACTGCAAAACAAAACAAAACATTGTGGATGCTGGAGGTCGGAAACACAAACAGAAATTGCTGGAGAAACTCAGCAGGTGTGGCAGAATCTGTGGAGAGAAAGCAGAGTCAACGTTTCGGGTCCAGGGACCCTTCTTCAGAACAACTGGAACTGACCTCTTTCAGAAAATAAATCACTTCAGCAAGCCATGCAGCGACTAAGGAAAAGATCGGAAATAATTGTGGGCTGCCATTAGGACATGTGACCACCAGGTTGGCAGAAGGTAAACGACATGATTCTCAGTCTTTTTTTAGCTGAGCAATGTGTGTTTTGACACAGGATACAAGCATGTGACAATCACTCTCTCTCTCTCTCTCTCACACACACACACATATACATACACCATGGAAAGGTACAAATGGGAGACTTACTGGAGCTCCAGTAGTTGTGGACACTGCTTAATTATGGGTGCGAGACGAAGGAATTGGGGAGCCTCAATTCCGCACTGGTATAAACTGAAAATTGGCAAAAGGACAAAGACATTTATTTGACACTTGGCAATGTTACAGATAAACAATTTAATGCTTTTCCATTAAACCTCTGCAGATCGACTACGGGTGCATCGAGTATAAAAATGACAATTGAAATCCTCGAAATATTGTTTGGATTCAAATAGCGCATTTTACAGTAAATCAAATGGAATGGTCACCTGATCAATTGCAGAGAAGGATGCTGTGCTCCAGAGTCTATTCTGGTGCTGAAAGGGATCAGAAAGATCTCAGATCAGTTTTGGTTATTGTATATCCCTAGAAAATAGATGTGCTGTGAATATATAACACTGGTGAGCCCAGTGTTTTTCCAGGCACAATGTGGTCCGGTAAAATGCAGCCTGTATAACCGTACTGCCCTTAGTCTTGTGTTTCTTTCTCACCAGCATGCAACTGTATTTATCAGCTACACAAAACGGTGTTACGTTTCGGAGCTGTGAGGTAGATAAAATTATGAGAGGTAGAGGCACCAGGAAAAATATTGCCTGGTGACTTCAGATTGCATTTTGTTATGGACCTACGAACACAGTGCTGCCAGAGATATCCAGAAGCCTGCAACAGGGAACATCTCTCTCTCTATCACTCCCCCTTCTCTGTGTGAGTGAAAAGACAAAAAAAAGCCCAGGGATTCAAACGAAAATTGTCTAATAAAAAAGACCCAGTCCACCCGATCAGCTGTCGAATCAAAGATAATGAGCGTGCTACAGACAATCTGTCCTCATTGCCAAAATCAAAAAGAACTGTGGGATTAATTCTCCACCTTGCAACTTTGATCTACAGAAATTGCTTTCCCTGTTTATATTGGTTTTACCGATAATATTTGCAACAAACTGTTGTTTTTGGATTCATATTCATGAGTGAATGTGTGCGTGTGCTCTGGGGGGTGGGTGGTAGTTAAAGGGGTGCAGGGTTAAGTCACACAATAATAAATCCATTTGTTAAAGAATGAGTTTGTTTACAATAATTGGAGTTATTTTGTTGTTAATGATAAAAGCTGGTATCAATTACTTTTGCTCTGAAAAGCAGTCCGTCAGGCAAAATGATCATCTTGGTGGTTTAATTGAGTATTTACATATTTGTGATGGCTTGTGGAATAATGGGGCTCAATTATTGGTGTACTCTTCCCATTGGAGTCATGACAGTGTTAACAGCATGTAGCTAAAGATTGTCTATCTGCTCTTAGCTTGAGCCTGATGTCTGACAAGAGACAATCACGTATTTTAAAAGTAACATAACTAGTTAAGTACTATGAAATAAATCTTCAATGTTTAATCAAGACCCAGACTATCTTCTACCAATTACTTCATGTTGGCATCCTTACCCACTTGTATCAGTAGCTCTCCAAATATCAATAAGGAGGATTGCTTGCAGCAAATGTCGGCAGCATAGATAACTAACACTACCAGACAATACTCAGCTCACCCACAAGGGACCAGTGTTGGGCAGTTGTGATGGGAGAAGTTCCTTTTAGCAGTCACCGTGAATATGGTAAAATAGGTACACAATCAGATGCTGGTAAACTGACAGCACTTTTGTGGAGCCAGTTACAATAAGAATTGTTACAAACAACCAGCTGCAGTTCCTTTAAGGACTGTGGTCAGTCCGCTCAGTGGCATTTTTCAATGGGGTAGACTTCTCCCAAAGGGCTGTGGTTGAAGAGGGAAGGTCCACTGGCTGCATTACTTCATGGTGACACTCATTAAAATCAACCCTAGAATTAAAACTGATAATAAAGGCTGGCCAGGTGAGATGGTCTTTATTGTCAATTTTTGTAATTGATAAAGTTTATCTTGCACATGTTTCTCAGGCTGCACGTCCCTATTTTTTTTCACAAATCATATCCCCATTTTGTTTGACACTGGTACTAAAATTGCCATCAGGTTTTTGGCCAAACTGTATACAGCCACTTAGCTGGCATGTTTGTTTCAATGCTAAAAGCTGAGAACATATTACACATATGTATCTTCTCTCCCATCCTCGTTTCTCAATGCTGGGCTATGGTCTACCACTGGATAGGTCCATGCTTATGGGTAAGGTGTTTCAGTCCTTTGCCACTGCCTTCTGCAGGCTGGGTGTTCAGGAAACTCCCCCTCTCTTACTGGCTGCTATCCGGTGCATTGGAAGGTTTAGCAGGCTGGTAATCAACCTGCTTGGTCATGTTACAAACACAACTTTCATTGGAGACAACTCCTGGTATGGGACAGAGAGGGCCTGGAGCTTCTGACCCAGAGGGAGGGGCACTATCACTGCAACCACCAGAATCTCATATTAGACATGATTATAATTAAATTCAAACTGCAGTCCACTCTGGGAGACAATTCCTCCATCGAATCCTGAAGACCAGAGGAATACTGAGAATAAAAGCAAGGTTCACCTGGGAAGGAACCCATTATAAATGGATGATCAAATGTTGGACATTGACAAATACATTTAAAAAGTGAAATGAAAAGAACTATTCCACCTCTTAAAATACACAGTAAGCCAGCTTAAATCGCCTCAGAAGCAGATGATGTAAGATGCGTCTTTCTCACATTTAACTCTATTGTTCATTATGAAAAATGGGGAAGGAGATGACTTCAATTTGACATGCAGGATAGTAATTAATGAAGGTAATGCCAATAATGCACACCACCCCCCCCTCCCCACTCAGTGGCCCAGCAACAAGGAAAGACCCCAGGCCAAAGGTAAGTGAGGGTAGGATGGAGGTCGTGTAGTGGTGCTCACAGGGGAAGGGGATCAGCAGCAAAAGCAGGACTCAATTGTCAATGCCAGCTCCCTTCATCAGGCACCAAGTGCCTTTGAATGAAGGATTAACTCTCCTCCTGCCTGGACAGTCTCCCACTCTGCCATGAGTCGAATGTCAATGGCGTGTTAAGTGGCCTTAATTGCTCAGTCTTTTTGATAAACTTTATTATAAATAAAAATAAGATCATTTATGTTGTAGTTTGTTTGATCATGGGATGCAGGTGTCACTGGCTGGACCATCCCTAGTCGCCCTAGTAAAGATGGTGGTGAGCTGCCTTCTTGACCCTTGCTGCCCTTGAGGTGTTGGTATACTAACAATTCTGTAGGAAGGGAGTTCCTGGATTTTCATCCAACAACACTGAAGGAACTGTGATAAAGCTGAGGTCAGAATGCAGTTGGAGGGGAACTTGCTGGTGATGGTGTTCCTGTGCAAATATCCATATTGTCCTTTTAGGGGTGGTAAAGGCCTGCTAAGTGAGCCTTTAGTGGGATACTGCAGTGAATCTTGTAAACGGTACACACTGCTGCCACTGTGCATCAATGACTGAAGGGAATAAATGTTGATGGTGGTAGATAGGGGGCAAAACATGTGGGCTGCTTTGTCCCAAATGGTATCAAACTTCCTGAGTGTTGTTGGAACTGCTCTCATTCAGGGGTAAGTGGGGCATATTCGATCACAGTTCTGACTTGTGCCTTGTAGATGGTGGACAGACTTTGGGGAGACAGGAGTTAAGTTACACAGTACAGAATTCCCAGCTTTTGTAGCCACAGTATTTATATGGTTGTTTCAATTCAGCTTTCTGGTCAATGGTAACCGTCAGGTTGATAGTAGTGTGAATGATGTCATTAAACTTCACTTCCCACATGAAGATCTTCACAAATCAGTGTTTCGCTCTCCCATTCTTATCAAAATGACAGAATTATTGTTTTGAAATGCAGTGCTTGGGGTGAAGGGCAAGTATCTTGAATAGTATGCTGCAAAATGACAATGATGGAGGTATTTTCCTGCTTCAACGATATGGTCATGTCGTGTAATTTGGAGTCATTTTATTCTCCTTTAGATATATTTAGATATATATAACCCATAGTTATTGGGAATTAGCTTTAGACAACCATTCTGAACTCCTTCCTACAGTAACAATGTTGGTGGAAGTGCAAACATGTTCAAAGATATTTGGTTAGAAATAGCAGACTGAAAAACAAAATCCTCATTTACTATCTCCAATAGTCAGGAAAAATTTTTATCCCAACAGCATATGCAGTGATTGGTTTATATTTTAGGATGTTTTCAGTTTACATATTTCTGAGATCATGTTGCAGCAAACAGCCAAGAAACACAAATAATAAAACTGCATGTTACAGATATGACTCTCACTTTTGAATCAACTCTCAGTCAATGTGATGGATATCCATACCTGTTATAATCAGCAAGTTGCCAACCACTGTCAACCAGCCTTATGGAAACTGTTTTGTTCTTCACACTACAAAATAAGTTTTCATTGACATCAACATCAATAAAACACGAGAGATGTCTAGAGTAATTTCTTTTGAAAGTCCCTATATAGGACTCCTGAAATTTGAAACTGAAATGAAACTAGTGCCAATGGGAAGTCAGCCATATCAGGTAGTCTTAAGGCGATAGTTAGTTAGTGAACGAATAGCAGTAAACACCCGAGAACATCTCTTTCACTGATTTATCTTTCAATATTCTTTATAGACTCTACGTAATGTTATTGTCACCAGGGAAGCACAGAATCACCTCAATGGGAACGACAGATATCACAAGAGGGTGAGAGCAAAGGAGATGCCAATTGGCAACATTCTGTTCATAACCAGGTTGAATGGCAGTCACCTGGCAGGGTAAACATGATTAAACTATGAAGCCAAGCTGCCTTGGTTTGTATTTCAGAGAGAACAGGGGATTGAGGGCGTGATCTGACTGAAGTGTCCAAATTGCTAAAATGCTTTGATAAGTTGGATGTAGAGAAACTATTTCCTCTGATGGGGAAATCAAGAACAATGGGCCAACTTAAAATTGGAGTGGAGAATTTAGGAAGGAAATCAGAAAGCAATTTCTCACACAAAATTTATCAGAAAGGTGCAAACTTGTCACTCAAAGGATTATAGATTTCAGGAGAATTTTCAGACTGTGATTGATGGGTTTTTATTAGCCAAGGCTTTCAAAAGATTTGAAGCAAATGCAGGGAAATGGAGTTGAGCTGCACATCAACCAGATCTAACTGGATGGTGCAGTAAACCCAAGGGGCTGAATGGCCTGGACCTGTCTCCAAGATCCTGGCCAGGTGAGCCTGCAGTGGAGGTCCTTGATTGGCCAGTTGTCCAAAACCCCACAGTTTCCGAGAAAAAACATCCAGACGGTAAAGAAAGACAAATAGTTCAGACATTTTTAATGACAGTGCACGCACAAGATGTTTTCCATGAACAGCTGTTTGTGGTGTTTCTGCCACTCGCTGTGCACGTGGTGGCTTCGACATCAAGGCAATCACAGCACCGCACATCCACACTGTACAGGTGGTGTTAAGTTGAACAGGTTTCATATGGTTTAACTTTCTTTTATCTCTCATTTCAAGTTTCCTTAGACCACTAAGGAAACCTCAAGTGTCACAGACGCATGAAACCAAACTATTTCCTAAATACTGTGATCCATCTGTTGTCCAACAATACCATTCCTGGAAAAGGCTAGATTCCCCCGGCAAAGACTACACTTTCACATTCTCCTTCACATTTCCAGTGTGGAAGTTCTCACTGCAGATTGCATGGAAAGTAACTGTATAGTTACATCGGAAGATCAAATGTAGCAAGAGTGTCATTGCACTAACAGCCTATCTGTTATGACCAATCGGTCAGATTTTTTTAAAGCGAAATCTAACATGGTCTTCAAGTCTTTCTTGTTACCTAAACTATTTAGTTTCTGGGGGGAAAAAAACAGTGTCAGCACATTTACTAATACAGGAGTGCTTTTTGTAAAAAAAACCTAAATATTTTGAAAGTCTGGGTAAAGATATGCCTTATAGTGTAATGTAATGCGAGCTTGAGTAATATTGGGGTTGTTTTGGCCTTAAGCGATAGTGTAAAAGGGGCCAGTATTTGATCAGCTATACATTATAACATCCATCCTTATGTGATTTTGCATATCCAGTCAGGAGAGATATTAAATAGGTGGAAGATTCAATATTGTTCATTGCACTTTTTGAGAGGCACAATTTCAATTTGAAAATTGAGGCACTTTGGAACAGGGTTCCATTCATTTGCTCCCCCAAAACTGACCTTAAACTCTATTTGATCTGAATTGCTTACTCTGACAAGGTGAGGATGCGGTATGTTCATATAAAATTTCCAGAGCTTTTTCTTCTCCCTACTGGCCCTGTTTCTTTCCCTCTCCCAGGAGACTGAATGACTATTGGGATGTAGGAAGTGGTCATGATTCTCCAGGCAACATGACTGTGGGACATGCTTGACTGACCGCTTGGTCTTTCCCTACCTATGTGTGGAGACCTGATTTACAACCATCCTGACTTTGGACTGGGCTGGAATTTAACTTAACTTACATAAAACCCAGTTGGTTATATGGCATTAAAATTGGACCCATTTACTTTAATGGAAGCAATGCAAAACAGGGGCAAGGTGATGGGCGTCCAAACTTAACTCCTTCATCCTGCCAAAGGGATAAAAGTTAAAAAGCAGGATTTAGGTATAGTAGGAACTGCAGATGCTGGCGAATGAGATAACAAGGTGTAGAGCTGGATGAACACAGCAGGCCAAGCAGCATCAGAGGAGCAGGAAAGCTGACGTTTCAGGCCTAG